AAAAAAATATACTAAAACGTATGGGACACAACAAAGGTAGTGCCAAGGGGAAAATTCACAGCTGTAAATGTTACAGTAACAAAAGATCTCGAGTCAACAACCTAACTTTACAACACAAGGAACTAAAAAAAGAAGAACAAAACCCTAAACTAGCAGAAGGAAAGAAAAATAAAGATTATAGCAGAGATAAATAAGATGCAGAACAGAAAAAAATAGAGAAAATCAATAAAGCCAAGACATTTTGAAAATACATTAACAAAATTGACAAACTTTTAGCTAGACAGACTAATTTTAAAAGAAGATTCAAATTACTAGAAATACAAACTTACCAAGAAGAAATGATGAAGAAACAGAAAATACACCCATAGTAAAAGGAGATTGCATCAGTAACCAAAAACCTGATAAAAGCCCTGGACCTGATAGCTTTACTGGTGCATTCTATCAAACATTTAAAGAACTAACACCATGCCTTCTCAAACTGTTCCTTCCAAAAACAGAAAGGAGCTCTGTCAGCCTCTGCCAAGGCAGGTGGATCACGAGGTCAAGAGTTCAAGACCATCCTGGCCAACATGGTGAAACCCCATCTCTACTAAAAATACAAAACAAAAACTAGCTGGGCGTGGTGGCATGTGCCTGTAATCCCAGCTACTCGGGAGGCTGAGGCAGTGAGCTGAGATTGCGCCACTGCACTCCAACCTGGCAATCTTGTCTCAAAAAAAAGGCAACCCAAGATAAAATATTTGGAAATCACATATCCAGTAAGGGATCAATTTCCAGAATATATAGAGAACTAAAACTCAACAGAAAACAACTTGATTCAAAAGTGGGCAAAGAAAAGAATGTGCAAAGAACTGGAAAAGGCATTTCTGTGGATATAACAAGAGGCTAGACTATAACCAGGGGAGCCAGATGGTTAAGGCTGAAGTGAAGGATGAGAACACTAAATCAGAAGTCTAGGAACTGAAGTGTTCAAGTGTTGGGTTAATTGGAGGACACTGAAATTATCAACTGAGCGAAGGAGAAATGAGTGAGCAGGGTATGTGTGGAGGCAGCACTGACTTAGGAGGGCAGTTAACTGTACCCTCTGAGGGTTGTGGGAGTAAATGTTGAGGGATCTATGTGCTTGTCACTATCCCCAACAATGTAGTGGGTACTCAAATATCAGCTATCACACTTTTATTCTTATTATTGAGCTACAATGCCAGAAACTATGGTGTATACTTGTTACTGCTTGTACTTTTTATTTGATGAGTAGCATGTCTAATATAAGAATCATAGGCCGGGCATGGTGGCTGACACCTATAGTCCCAACACGTTGGGAGGCCAAGGTGGGTGGGTCACAAGGTCAGGAGATCGAGACCATCCTGGCCAACATAGTGAAATCCCGTCTCTACTAAAAGTATAAAAAATTGGCTGGGTGTGGTGGCAGGCACCTGTAGTCCCAGCTATTCAGGAGGCTGAAGCAGGAGTATCGCTGGAACCTGGGAGGCAGAGGTTGCAGTGAGCCGAGATTGCACCGCTGTACTCCAGCCTGGTGACAGAGCGAAACTTCGTCTAAAAAAAAAAAATTCAGTTTGGGCTATTTCTTAACAGATTTAACTGCCTAAGACAGAGGCAGGCAAACTTTTTCTGTAAAGGATCAGATAGAAAATATTTTACAGTTTGCAGGCCATATGGTCTCTGTTGCAACTGCCCAACTCTGCCATTTAGTAGGAAAGCAGCCATATAGACAATATATAAACAAATGTATTGATGGAGAAATGAAAATGACACCTCATTTACAGAAGCAGGAATTGGCTTATAGTTTGCTGTCTCCTAGCCTAAGATGTGATTTTTTAAATGTGGTTCCTCATGGGTTTTGTACATACTTCTAAAGATTTGTTGTTGCACTGTTGATGCCTGTTAGATTATAATCTTGAACTGTTATACACAGTTGACCTTGTCTCAGATTATTCCTTGTGACCAATTATAATTAAAATAGTATGACTTTAATATAATGCACATACTAAACCCATGAAGCAGCTATACTTATGGAAGCAGCTATACTTAATTCATTTTTTAAAAAGAATTTTATGTAGTTTGAGGTCTAAAGATTAATTTCTGAGAAGCCAAAAAAATAGCTTACAACTGCATTTTCTTGTTATGACTGACAGAGATATTACATAGCTTCATGCTTTTTTTTTTCCCACAGTATGTCTTTAAATTTCTTTCTCATAAACTTTTAGGGATCCAGGTTAGATGATCAAAGATGTACTCCGCCACCTGCTACCACAAAGGGTCCGACAGTACCAGATGAAGACTTTTTCAGCCTTATTTTACGATCTCAGGCAAAAAGAATGGATGAACAGAGAGTTCTTTTACAAAGAGATCAAAACAGAGACACTGACTTTGGGCTAAAGGACTTTTTGCAAAGTAATGCTTTGTTGGAGTTTAAAAATTCAAGGAAAAAATCAGCAGACCACTAGTTACTATGGATGTATTTTTTTCCTTTCAGAATACGGTAAGGAAACAATCTATTACTTCTTTCCTTAAAAGAAGAATTTATAGCACTGTAACACGTCTTAAAATATTTTTAGAATAATGTAAATAGTTAACCTTCAGTAGTCTATTATTAAGGCTTTAATACTTCTCTGGACACTCACGTGTTTCAAGGTGGAGGTGTCCTGTAAGGTGCTTCATCATCTGTGATTACTATTTGGGATGTGTTCTTTGGCAGCTTGTTAGATTACTTTACCTAGTGTTTGTACAGTAGGTTAAATGAATCATAGATTAGAATTTAATCCTCTTATGGAAGTTAAGTTTTTAAAATCTTAATTGACAGTGGCATTTTGTTATACATAACCATGGATGTATAGTGGGAAACAATGCTGTTTAGTAAAAATAATGTACTTGACCAATGTAAAAAAGTATATAAAACAGTCTTATTAAAAAGCTAGGTTTTTTTTTTCCCTCCATGAAAATCTATTTTCAGTATTTTTTTAGGCCAAAGCCAGTATAAAGAAACTCTTAAGTGAACTTCTTGGGCTGGGCATGGTGGTTCATGCCTGTAATTCCAGCACTTTGGAAGGCTGAGGCAGGAGGATCACTTGAGGCTAGGAGTTCAAGACCACCTGGGTAACATGGTAAGACTGCCATCTCTACAAAAAATACATTAGCAGCCAGGTGCAGTGGCTCATGCCTGTAATCCCAAAACTTTGGGAGGCTGAGATGGGCAGATCAGATGAGGGCAGGAGTTTGAGACCAGCCTGGCCAACATGGTGAAATCCCATCTCTAGTAAAAATACAAAAATTAGCAGGGCTTGGTGGCACGCGCCTGTAGTTCCAGCTACTTGGGAGGCTGAGGCAAGAGAATCGCTTGAACCCTTGGGAGGTAAAGGTTGCAGTAAGCCAAGACCAAGCCACTGCACTCCAGCCTGGGTGACAGCAAGACTCTCTCTCAAAAAAAAAAAAAAAAAAAAAAAAAAAAATATATATATATATATATATATATATATATATATATATCAAGCATGGTAGCACACACCTGTAGTCCCAACTACTTAAGAGGCTGAGGCAGGAAGATCGCTTGAGCCCAGGTGGTAGAGGCTACATACACTCCAGCCTGGTGACAGAGCAAGACCCTGTCCCTAGAAAACATATCTTTTGCCGGGCGCGGTGGCTCAAGCCTGTAATCCCAGCACTTTGGGAGGCCGAGGCGGGTGGATCACGAGGTCGAGAGATCGAGACCATCCTGGTCAACATGGTGAAACCCCGTCTCTACTAAAAAGTGCAAAAAAGTAGCTGGGCGTGGTGGTGCATGCCTGTAATCCCAGCTACTCAGGAGGCTGAGGCAGGAGAATTGCCTGAGCCCAGGAGGCGGAGGTTGCGGTGAGCCGAGATCGTGCCATTGCACTCCAGCCTGGGTAACAAGGGCGAAACTCCGTCTCAAAAAAAAAAAAAAAAAAAAAAAAAAAAAAAGAAAACAATCTTTTGTATGTTTGGGCCATATGTTAAAAAATATATACATGCGTATCATTTAAAATGGTCTCCTCTGTTCCATAATACTGCTATAAAACAAACTTTTGTTAAGTTCTCATGTTTTAAAAAAAAAAAAAAAGAAGTGGTTAGGTCAAGAACCTAGGACACCAACAGAAAACAGGTGACTACTCACAGACATTCAGTGTGAAAGATGCTAGCTAGAGCCTTAGTGGTCATTAAGCCTTGTCTTCCTTATCCCAGATGCTAAAGACAGTTTAGAAGGGGATGATAACAAAGTAACTGCAGCAAAAGACAAGAATGGGACAGAGCAGGGCCTGGAGTAACACTGAATCAGACTGCAAAAGCCCACCCTTGGAACAAGCTGACAGTTTGTTCCACTCTGCTTGCACAGCTGGGATGGGATCTGGGGATGTGGACCCCTGTTCAAAGTCACTTGGGGATTTTCATGGGCAAACAGAACTACTTCTCTACATGGCCAATGTTTTAAAAAAAAAAAAAAAAGTCAAAATCTGGAATTACATTAGGGCTGAGTTGAAACCTGGATCACATTATGTTTCATGTATACTATTAAGGTATGATGTCCTGGATAGCATCATGGGGCTTTTCTTATAAGAAAATTCAGTCAAACCCCAATGTAAAAATAAGTTTATTTTATGTATACAATAGTTCTTACAGCCTGTAAATATTCAACATTATTCCATTTAAACATTGTTTTTAACAGCTGTCTACCTTGTTCTGATTTTCCTAAAGCTTCACACTCTATAGGCTGGGCATGATGGCCAATGCCTGTAATCCCAACACTTTGGGAGGCCAATGAGGGTGGATCACTTGAGGTCAGGAGTTCGAGACCAGCCTGGCCAACAGGGCAAAATCCCATCTCTACTAAAAATACAAAAATTAGCCAGCCATGGTGGCGCACATCTGAAATCCCAGCTACTTGGGAGGCTGAGGCAGGAAAACCGCTTGAACCCAGGAGATGATGGAGGCTGCAGTGAGCCAGGATTGTGCCACCTGGGTGACAGAACAAAACTCTCAGAAAAAAATAAAGTAAAATTAAATTTTAAAAAAGCTTCACTCTAAACCTTAATTTTAATGACATATTGCCTAGTCAATAGACAAGCCTTATGTCTTTTCTGGTGATAAACTGGCCTTGTGTGTTCAGTTTGCTTTCATACTTAAGTGTTTCCTGAATTGCTGTTGTCATTCAACAGCAGTTGCATGGTGCCTTGCTGTCAAAGTAGATTTCGTCCCCAAATGGATATCTGTAATGAAAGAATACAGAGGTGAAATTTTACTTAAAATTTTTTAAAAATAATTTTTGTTTTTGGATTAAAAGGCAGTAACTGCAAGCAGCATTAATTCCACTCACAGTTAAAGTCCATCACCTGGGGATTCACTACTTTTCAGAATCAGATCACAGATCAAAAGACAGCTCTCATCATGGGGGCATATTCCCCAATCAGTGTGAACACATCTTGTCCCCAGAGGACTACTTTATATGCATGGATGTTCACAAATTTATTCTAAACCACAGGTGTCTGTCAGAATTCATTTGTTACATGCCGTGTTAAAAATCTTAAAATCCTTTTGCACTTCTTAGAAAAAATAACCTTTCTGATGAAATACTAAAGATGTTTGCAGTATTAAACTAGAATATATTAACATGTATAATTTTTTTGAGACAAGGTCTTGCTTTGTCACCCAGGCTGGAGTACAGTGGCTTAATCGTAACTCACTGCCACCTTGCGAGCCCCCTGCCTCAGCCTTCCAAGTAGCTGGGACTACAGGCATGTACCACCATGCCTGGCTAGTTTTATTTTTAGTAGAGACTGAGGTCTTGCTTTGTCACCCAGGCTGGTCTTGAATTCCTAGGCTTAAATCATCATCCTGCCTTGACCTCCCAGAGTGCTGGGACTGTAGGCATGAGCCACTGCACCTGGCCTAAAATGAAATTGTTACAGGCATGTAAGTAACACTTCTTGTATCCAAAATGTGTATTCTGCATTTTATATTTAAAAAAAAAAAAAAAAATCAAAAAGTGCTTGGGATACAAATGTCTGCATGAAAATTTAAAGACTTTATTCCTTACTGGCATCATTTTTGGTTAGCAGCTGAACATAACTTGTAGTTGTGAATATGGTTAAAACAAAGGATACCTGATGTATATGGAATCTGCTAGCTTCTAGCTAAGGACAGGTACACAATTTATACATTGCTTTTTAAAAAGTTTAAAATGTACAATCAGGAGAAGGGCACAAAAAAGAAAAAAAAAAAGTTTAAAATGAGGAATGCTTTTGATAATCAGACTAAAGTGCTGACTCATGGCCTGTCTGCAGTTAAGGCAGGCACCAAACTGTTTTTTCCTCATCATGGTATTCTTCTCTGTGTAGAGATCTCTAAAAATTCAAACGTCCAGTGGACAAACAATATGATTTGCTACAATATAAATAAGATATGCTAATATCTAATAGTCTCTCCACTGCTAGGATTCTGAGTAACAAGAAAAAGAGGTCTTATAAAAAGCCCATACACTTCATCTGTTGGGAACAGAAAGAAAGTCATTTTCAGTTGACTGACTCTGTAAAACAGATTACCAATGTAACAAGCTATGTTATCTAAATTGCCCTGGCAGTCTTCAGTTTTGTCTAAGTAAACAAAGTAAAAGGGAAAATAAGGATGCAGGCCTAGTAATAGCTGCAGAAAAGATGAAACTACAAAGCCACAATGACCTGTGGGCAGCCTACACAGAGACAAGCTGAGGTGTCAGACTGATCCTGGTAACACATACTCCATGGCTGCAGGAAGATGCTGGAGTGCATCAAGTGGGTGGTCGGAACTACAGTGGATTCCACTAGGCAATGTAAGTTGGTTAGTGGGTTCCTGTACGTGCCTGTAACAATAAAATTTCTTTTCCAATGTCCCCCATTCCAATTGGCCTCCTTAACTAGCCAGAATCAGTGATGCCTGCCATCTGTTCATCTTAAAACAAATTCTGAGACCGTTTTCTAAAATTAGCACTTCCTACTACATATCAAAGATGAAATCAAAAGCTTTTATATACATACATGTGTGCGTTAATTCTAATTGTCAGTAAAAAGGTGAATGTTGAAGTTGGCACCTGTGTAGTAATCAGAATACTTGCAGATAAGAGAGAACAGACAGTATACTTCACAAAGCTCAAAGATTTGAGAGCTGATGCTTGCCACTAACTGAATCCTGTCCATGTGGTCCAGCCGTACTTCTTGCTGGGCTGCATGTGCTGCCTTGGTCTGGGATGCCCTCAGCTTCTGACGTGAGCTGGGCCTTTTCTGCTGCAGGTGGACCTTCTGTATTCCCTGATGTGTCTCGGCCAGAGACAGGCTTAGCAGACTGGCTGCTTTCAGTACTGCTTTCTTTCAGTGTGCCTTCCCCAGGAATTCCACGAATCTCCGTGGGCTTTGTATCCAAATCAGGTGATTTATGCTATAAAGTACAAAATTACATTTTGTTTTAACCATTTAATGTAATGTGGAGTCTTAGTAATCAAACATACCTTACAAGTTCCCACCTAAATCGGTTGTAGCAAGCTCCAGACTCTGTCAAATCCAGGGTCCAGTGCTGGATTATAATTATATAAATGTTGATTAAAACCTCACCATACTCTACAGGAGAACTACCACGGAGGAGTGGGAACATTTAGGGTACACTTGGGGTCTAGTGGCCCAGCTTAGAAGGGGTCAAGAGAATTGGTAATCAGTATTGTTAATTTCTCTTGCCTGGTGAGAATAATTCATTTGACAAATATTTATTGAGCATATATTAAGTTCTAAGTGTTAGGGATACCACAAGAACAAAATACATAAAACTGTTCTCACTGGAACTTATATTTAGTTTAGAAGAAAATCTCAAGTATTATATATATGTTCAATTAAGGGGGCTATGTAGAAAAAGCAGAAAAGAGATGAGTGCTGAATGTGGGGTGGGCTGGTAGGGTCAAATTACAGTTTAAGGTGGTCTGAAAAAGTGATGAGGCCGGGCATGGTGGCTCATACCTGTAATGCCATCACTTTGGGAGGCCAAGGTGAGAAGAGTGCTTGAGGCCAGGAGTTTGAGACCAGCCAAGAGCAAGCCCCCCATCTCTATGAAAAATAAAAAATATTAGCCAGGCATGATGGCATATGCCTATATTCCTAGTTAACACAGAAGGCTGAGGTAGAAGGATTGCTTTAGCCCAGGATATTGACGCTGCAATGAGCTATCACACCACTGCACCCCAGCCTTGGCTGGAGTGAGACCCTGTCTCCAAAAATAAAAATGAGTAAAGGCCTGAAGAAAGTTACCATATGCTATATGAATGAACACTGTAGAGAGAGTGAATGGCAGGTACAAAGGCTCTCAGTTCAAGGAACAGTCAGGAGCCTTTAGGCTGAAGCAGAGTGAGCATGGAGGGACAACAGGAGGTGACCAGAAAGGCAGTGGATGTGGGGGAAGGGGACACCAAGGATGCTTCTAGGCCATTGTGATTAAGTGGCTTTCCCGTCTAGGCCATTGTGATTAAGTGGCTTTCCCATCAAGTGAGATGGAAGTCACTGGAAGACTTCTGAGATGGGTGACAGGTAATAGTCACCCAGGCTAGAGTGCAGTGGCATCATCTCAGCTGACTGCAACCTCTGCCTCCTGGATTCAAGCAATTCTGCATTAGCCTCCCAAATTAGCTGGGATTATAGGTGTAAACCATCAGGCCTAATTTTTTTGTATTTTTAGTAGAGAGGGGGTTTTGAACTGCAGACCTCAAGTGGTCTGCTTGCCTTGGCCTCCCAAAGTGCTGATAAGCTACCACACCTGGCCCAGCTTAAAGTTTTCTAGGTTATCTATAAACATATAGATAAGTTTATTTTTATATTAACTCTATGGGATAGTTTCCCAGATTCTATTATGCTCATAACTATTTCAAAGGTTTACAGCTGCAACTTAAAACTTTTCAGGTGACAATAAAAAACAGACTGATAATGATGAGAAACTTCTCAGCATTCTACAGGTAAAAAGTACAGTCTAGCCAGCCAATGACACAGAAGTTTTAGAGAAGTAATGTTTTTGATCCCTGGCCCCAGTCCATTCTTGCATCCAGCTAAGCCTTTAGGGCTCTACTGCCCCTTCCCTAGAGCTCCAGGCCTTCAGTGATGCCTCCTCTCTGATTTCTTCAAAGACAAATTTCAGTCATGCTCACAAGCTGGCTTCCCATGAAGGTTCCTATGAATTATCATCTGTTCTGAGAAACTACTGTTACATTGTATTTTACATAAAAGTTAAATCTAATTTTATTTCTTCTGAGGAAGCTGAACTAACTTTTGACCAGAAAGGGGAGAGCGAGAGTGACTTAATTATATCACTCATGATATAATTAAGGATGAAAGGTAAAAGAGCAAAGACAATCAGAACTCTTCCAGAAGCATTTAGGACCAGTAATGAATAAACAGTTGCTGACTTACAGTGGGTACCACCGTGGGATGCTCTCGTGCCTCTGCGTCTGGTAAATCAAATGCCCGAAGCACTTCAGGGCTCCTGTTGCCAGTCTGAAATTTCAAGTCAACATCTCTCTCTCTCAAAATCTCTCTTCTACTCTCATATGTTTTGGCATAAGGGCCTTGCTCAATGGGGCCAGTTTGGCCTCTATAATGAAAATCTGCATCACCTGCTCCACCATCGAGTCTGTAATCAATTTCCTTCTGCCGTCTTCTATCCAGTGGCAGGGGAGGTTCTCTCTCAGGACCACCTATATGTCTCAGCACAGGAACTGATTTTCCAGCACCATAGCAGAAACTCTATAAGGAAAATAAATACATTTTCCTGAGGACTTAATGTCTAACTTACAAAGGGGTTATGGGGCATTTTATTCAAAGTGTTAACAAAATTATGTAATTTAACTTGTGGCATTTAGACAAAATCGTTAATTTGTAATATAAGGCCGGAGTAATTTAATACATCACTCAGTATTCAGTAGACATTTTTTTTTTTTTTGAGATGGAGTTTCGCTCTTGTTACCCAGGCTGGAGTGCAATGGTGCGATCTCGGCTCACCGCAACCTCCGCCTCCTGGGTTCAGGCAATTCTCCTGCCTCAGCCTCCTGAGTAGCTGGGATTACAGGCACGCGCCACCATGCCCAGCTAATTTTTTTTTTTTTGTATTTTTAGTAGAGACGGGGGTTTCACCATGTGGACCAGGATGGTCTCGATGTCTTGACCTTGTGATCCACTCGCCTCGGCCTCCCAAACTGCTGGGATTACAGGCTTGAGCCACCGCGCCCGGCTTCAGTAGACATTTTAATCAGCTAGATTGAACTGTAACAATGGCAGGCTGAAGCCTAGATATTTAAATTAGTAGGTTCTAGTTGTCTGATAATTATTCATGTTTCTAGATTTATGCCCATCATAAAAGGTAAATGCTAAAAATAAAGTTGTATATCATTATGTAAACAATCTCCTGTACACTTATTTTTTATAAATACAAACTAGGCTTAAGTTACAGCTAAAATTCAACCAGTTTTGATTCACATTCCATGGGAAAAAGTAGGCAGCAACTCTGACAGTGTGGCCCAGGGACCCTTCGGGGGATACCTGATACTTTCAGGGGATCTATGAGATCAAAACTTTTCATAATACAAAGACATTGTCTTTCTCACTGTCCCCTCATGAGTGCACAATGGAGTGTTCCAGAGGCTAGAGTGACAGCCACACTCGGACTCATGGGATACGTGGTTGTAGATACAGTGCCCGTATTTAAAAAATTTGTTTTAACTCCTAATATGTAAATATCAATAAATATAATCACGTTAAAAGCTTTTGTGGGCTTCAATTTTTAAGACTACAGGGGTCCTACGAACAGAAACTTTGAAAATTTCTGTACTAATTTTTCAAATACTACTATCTGAAGACAGAAGCAAAAATCAAAGAGTGAAACTTTCCTTAGGGAGCCCATGAAACAAAAACAGATGAAGATTCTGCTGATAATTTGTTTCAGAAACTAAACTACGACTATAGAACTAATGTCACCTAAAAAGTGCCCATGAACCACTGAGTCCTGGAATCACAAGCCAAAAAACAAAAACCAAAAAAGGAATGATTTCCAAGTGAATAGAGCACAGTGCATCTTGTATCCTTAGGGAGGAGAATTTCCCATGGCACATCTAAGTTCTTTTTGTTTTATGCAACAACTGCTTTACTTGGGTAATAGCTAAAAAAATCAACAACAGAAACACTGAATAGACCATGGATGAATGACGAGTAATTTTTTTTTTTTTTTTTAAGACGGGGTTTCACCATATTGGTCGGGCTGGTCTTGAACTTCTGACCTCAGGTGATCCGCCCGCCTCAGCCTCCCAAAGTGCTGGGATTACAGGCGTGAGCCACCACGCCTGGCGCTGTAATATTTCTGCTTAATAAATGCCTGCTCCTAGATCCCCAAACTCTATCTCAGCATACCCAGGTTCTTCCAGATCCCTTTCTGGTTCTATGTCAAACTCAATGCTCTTCCCTTCTCAGTGCTGCAAAAATTCAGACTAGAAATAAGAAGGCCCCTCTTGCAAGGAGGCAGTAATCAACTTCCTATTTCCTGTGTATTAATTCACCAAGGTTAAAGAACAAATTTAAAAAGATGTTATTATTCTAAACCACTACTACAACATATGCAATCAAACTAGAGAACTACTTTCTTGATTAGGAAAATATACAGGTAAGTCCAGGCTGGCCACCACAGCGAAACCCCATTTTTGCTAAAAATACAAAAATCAGCCGGGCATGGTGGCGCATGCCTGTAGTCCCAGCTACTTAAGAGGCTGAGGCAGAAGAATCACTTGAACCCAGGAGGCGGAGGTTGCAGTGAGCCAAAATCGCACTGCTGCACCCCAGCCTGAGCAACACAGCGAGACTCCATCTCAAAAAACAAAACAAAAAAGGAAAAATATACAAGTATAATAAATCTGCATCACTTAGAGGGGCGGAGGGGAGGAAAAAATCTGTATCACTTGAAAATCATCTTCTCATTAAGCGTAACAGCCTGATTTACGACACTGAAGAACCCCAATGATTTTAGCCTTGCCTTTTTTCTGTAAATCTTGCTAAGTACTGACAGTGCTGCTATGTTACTACTAACCAGGACAGCCAATGCCATGATTATTAGCACTGGAATATGAAGCAGCGCTGGAATCTCCTTCATGAGCGCTCTAATAAATTCCCCAGTTCCTTTCCCAATGTGCTTCAGCGGCTCCGTTACAAATGTGGTGAATGTAACTGCAAGTGCCTAAAACAAAAGAAAAGCAAAAACTTAATTTTCTCCTCACAGGACTAAAGTTCAGAATGAGTCAAAATTCATTCTGTACTGAGGTTACATAAATTAAAATGTATGTTACATAAATTAAAATGTGCCGTTTTTAATGTGAAAATCACTGTGCAATAGTATTTTTTTCTTGGACAAAGGCTTATCAGCAAAATAACACTAAATTTCTTTAAAATACAAGGGATTTCTGACTTACTTTGTGTAAGTAATTTTTATAAAATATATGCTATACCTTTGTTGGTGGGACCAACCAAATAGGGTTGACTAGTAAGAGCTCATAGTATTTTTGGCATGGGTCATCCTTATAGGTCCATGAAATTCTGAACCATTCTGTTGAGAGAAACAGACAAAACACTGATCATTTTTTAAATGTTGCATTTCACCCCCAAATAAGACATTACTTTGGTTTTGATCCTCCCTGATCACCCACAAATGCTGATTTTTAAATTTTTCATCTTATCTCCAAAACCATGTTTAAAAAATCCGTTCAAATTATACATGTTTTATTCAGATAAATTATATTTTATAAAAATGTCTAAAAGGTAATTAAAAGCAATGCTTCACACACACAAATGAGTACAGGCAAAATGGGAAGTCTAAATAAGACTGGTGGATTGTATCAAAGTCAATATCCTGGTTCTGATACTGTTTTGGTTTTTTTTGAGATGGAGTCTCTGTCACCCAGGCTCAAGTGTGGTGGCGCAATCTCAGCTCACTGCAACCTTCACCTCCCAGGTTCAAGCTATTCTCCCTCAGCCTCTCAAGTAGCTGAGATTACAGGCATGTGCCACCACACCCAGCTAATTTTTTTTGTATTTAGTAGAGACGGGGTTTCACCATGTGAGCCAGGATGGTCTCAACCTTCTGACTTCATGATCCACCCACCTCAGCCTCCCAAAGTGCTAGGATTACAGGCATGTGCCACCGCGCCCAGCCCGGTATTAATACTATTAAGGCTGTGTAAGATGTTACCATTGGGGGAAAATGGACAAAGGGCACACAGGCTCTTTCTGTAGTATTTCTTACAACTGCCTGTGAATGCACAATTACCTCAATAAAATTTTAATTTAAAAAGCCAGCTCTTTATGGAGTTTACAAAATAAAGTAGAACACTGGTTCTAATTTTTCCAAGTCAGGCTTATATACACTGGGAAACTAGCCTGAGCTAGAGGAGGCATTTCACTGTCCACTAAAGTCAGGAAGCAAGGCTAAATTGGTTTAGTTCCCACAACTTTTTTTTTTGCCTTTTCTGAGACGGAGTCTCACTCTGCTGCCCAGGCTGTAGTGCAATGGTGCAATCTTAGCTCACTGCAGCCTCCGCCTTCCAGGTTCCTGCCTCAGCCTCCTGAGTAGCTGGAATTACAAGTGTACACCACCATGCCTGGCTAATTTTTTGTATTTTTAGTAGAGATGGAGTTTCACCATATTGGCGAGGCTGGTCTTGAACTCCTCACATCGTGATCCGCCCACCTCAGCCTCCCAAAGTGCTGGGATCCATAACTTTTTAAGAAACATTTATTTTGGAACCCATCTATAGAATTCTGTGTCAGTCATTAACTTGCATTTATAAAATGCCTTAGAATATTATTAAACCATTGCCATTGCTAGATATACACAACGAGAAGTACTGAACATTCATGAGAATGTTTATAAAATGTGAAAGAATAAAAAACTCAATACATTTTCCTTTAGTTTAAAAAAAGTAAAGCTACAACATAAAATTTCACAAGTCAATATAAGGCCATCAAACTTAAAATGGATATTAATATATACATTCATTCACTTGTTTAATAAACTTCTATTGAGGACCTAGAATATACCAGACACTGTGCTAAGGACGACATGAACAAAAGTGAGCACTGGATCCTTCACAGTCTAATGAAGGAAGATCGATAATATCAGACTCAACACATACACAACACAACTTCCATTCCTTCCCTGTGACTTCACATGAACACAAAAAGCCACTGGTTTTTTTTTTGTTTGTTTTTTTTTTTTTTTAACTTTTTTAGGCAAGTGAAGGTCACTGGTTTTAAACCTGAAATGCTTCTTGCATGTTCTTCTTATATTAAAGATTCAGTCATGAAAAGCCTCCTCTGTTGTTTTATCATTTCTTTGTTCTATGTTCTCCTCTCATTCTCAGAATTTCTATTCAAAATAAGGCCAAGTGCACAAACACCTTACCCCAGATACTTCCAGTCCAGTCCATCTTCTCGGCACACACATTGCTAAATGGCTCCATCTTGGCGACTTCAGCCTGATGCTGTGCAAAAGCTAGCTGACCGAAAGGGAACCAGGAGAAGCCATTACCAATGAAGATTAGGCCTACACACCCAAAAGACCTTCATTCAAAGAGTGTCTTTACCATGCATCCAAACCAGACTTTTTAAATTTTTAATTAAAAAAAAAACAATTTATTTTTTTCTGAGACAGTCTCGCTCTATCGCCCAGGCTGGTATGCAGTGGCATGATCTCAGCTCACTGCAACCTCCACCTCCCGGGTTCAAGCGATTCTCCTGCCTCAGCCTTTCAAGTAGCTGGGATTACAGGCGCCCGCTACCACACCCAGCTAATTTTGGTATTTTTAGTAGAGATGGGGTTTACCATGTTGGCCAGGCTAGTCTCAAACTCCTGACCTAAAGTGATCTGCACACTTCGGCCTCCCAAAGTGCTGGACTGTAGGAAAACACAGTATTTTTAAAGAGTAGCTATTTTCAGCTCATGGAAAAGTACAGCCTTAATGCAACAAGTTATATACATAAAGTAGTACTAACTCCAATTGTCTGTAAGTAATTATAATGAAAACTTTACTAAAAATATTGTTTTTAAATATTAGTTCAACCAGGTATGGTGGCATGCACCTGAAGTCCCAGAGACTCAGGAGGCTGAGACAAGAGAAACACTTGAACCCCAGAGGCAGAGGTTGCAGTGACCCGAGATTTTGCCATTGCACTTCAGCCTGGGGGACAGAGCAAGACTGTCTCAAAAACAACAACAAAAATTAGTTCTAACCCCACAAATTAAATGACTACTTCTTTATTTTATTTTTGAGTCAGAGTCTTGCTCTGTCGCCCAGGCTAAAGTACAGTGGCGCAATCTTGGCTCACTGCATCCTCCACCTCCCAGGTTCAAGCAATTCTCTGCCTCAGCCTCCCAAGTAGCCGGGATTACAGGTGCCCGCCACCACGCTTGGCTAATTTTTGTATTTTAGTAGAGATGGGGTTTCACCATGTTGACCAGGCTGGTCTTGAACTCCTGACCTCGTGATCCAGCCACCTTGGCCTCTCAAAGTGTTACAGGCGTGAGCCACCATGCCCGGTCCTTATTTTCTTTTATAGTTCATAATATCCTGTTTTGCACTAGATACTTTCCAGCACAATGACCAATATAAAATCACTCAGGTGACAATACTCTACAACTTTTCCTTCCACATGGAATCTGCTTTTAATTTGTAAATAATTAGTTCTAGATATTTCAATACTTAGGGCAAAAGGTTAAGGAAATGTCACAATGCTTTAACCAGGTAAAATCATTGAAAATACTTAGTTACTTGACTCACTCTCTAGAAAGATCTAAAATTTTCTTTCAATGATTATGCTATGTTGATGGGAATAGTAGTGGTCCTTTCAAATTTCTATATACAGTATAATCCCAATTTTGAAAGATAAAATCTAGGAAAAACTGGAAAGAAATACCTCAAAATATTGAAAGATTATCTCTAGGTGTTAAAAATTATAGGTGATTTTAAAAATTAATTTCTTTTTATCTTTGTCTTTTCTAAATTCTCTGCCATGAACATACTACTTATATATTCAAAAAATAACCTAATTTTTTACAAAATATTTTGGCATCATTTCTAGCAAAGAATAAAATGATATGCCCTAAATTACCTACATGAGAATTTTTAAATGTGTCCACCTAGCTTTATTCTTTCTTCCCCCCTCCGCCCCGTTTTTTGAGACAGACCTCACTATGTGGCCCAGGCTGGAAGGCAGTGGCACGATCTCAGCTCACTGCAACCTCCCAGGTTCAAGGAATTCTCCTGCCTCATCCTGCTGAGTAGGTGAGAGTAGGCACATGCCACTACTTCCAGCTAATTTTTGTATTTTTAGTAGAGACAGGGTTTCACCATGTTGGCCAGGCTGGTCTCAAACTCCTGACCAAGTGATCTGCCTGCCTCAGCCTCCTAAAGCGCTAGGATTACAGACATTAGCCATCATGCTCAGCCCCCCTGGCTGATGTTAACAGTAGTAACTAGGTTATGAAAATTAGGACTGAACCTTTTTACCCATTAACTGGTCAAGGAATCAAAAAACAGTTAACTGAGAATTGTCGATTTAATTCCTCCCTACCATGGACCACCTCTAATCACTGCCTCCAACCCACATCCAAGGCAAGATTGCTCTCAATGGATTAGTATTCTCTTATTGTGAATAAATGTGTTGAAACTGTAAAACTCTCCACCCATGTAATACCTTATATAAATATATCCAATTCCATCCCAAACTGAACAGAAAGCTGATGATTAAGACACGCCTCAATTGAGTGTACCAACGTACATACGTCCACAGCTCGGTAGCCACTAAAACCACGATGCAGAGCAGACACAGAAGTACCTCAAAACAGAGAGAAGCAGAAATCAGCCACCAAAAACATTCCGGGCAAACATTTGTATTTAGTAGTGACGCAATCTCAGCTCAAGGAATTCTCCTGCCTCATGCAAGGCATGATTGCTCTCGATGGATTAGTATTCTCTTATTGTGAATAAATGCGTTAAAACTGTAAAACTCTCCTTTATAGGGCAACTATAAAGAACTGGACTCAAACACACAAAATCATTTCTACAATTTTGAGGCTTGTTCATCAATACAGCATAAATGATCTAGTACAGGTTCTTAACATAATTATGGTTGAGTTTGGAAAGTATTGAAAAAGGGAACTTAATCACGTTGCCCTTGCCCTCATCCCATCTTACCATTAACACATTATATGGATCCATTCCAAAGGAATCTTCAAATCGCCACTTCCATGTTTCAAAATCATGAAGCTTAAAATTAATTAAAATATCACTTAGTGCATCATCCAAGGCACCTGGTTTCCAGTCTTCTCCACTGAGAAACTTCTGTATTTCTAACAGAGTTTCTCTTTTAAGGACAATCTCGGCATCATAATGCATATCGCCTTTGTCTTCACCAGGCTAAATGAAATTTACCAAACACAAACAATAGAAAAAGAGATTTTTATTACTACTCGGTGAACCATCTTAAGACAAAAGCCAATTTGGAACTAAATAGTAGTTTGCAGTATTTCATATGTATAAGAATAATAGCCTGGGCAAGGTGGCTCATACCTATCATCCTAGTGCTTTGAGAGGCCAAAGTGAGGGGACAGCTTGAAGCCAGGACTTCAAAACCAGCCTGGGCAACAAAGTGAGACCCCATCGCTACAAAAACTCTGGGTGCAGTGGTGTGGAGAAGAACCGTCTGTGCCCCAGATTTGAGGCTACAGTTAGCTTTGAGCACCCACTGCACTGCAGCCTGGGAGACAGAGCAAGACCCTGTCTCTAAAAAAACTAATAATATCCACCTGTCTTCATAGGCCAACATGAAAACCAAAGATAATACACGTAAAAAAAATTTAAAAATTCTAACACTCTATGCAAAAAAGATACTGTAAATTTTACTAAAATACAGTTGATTCTTGCTAACTATAGTAGTTATCGTCTATAAAGTCACCTCAAACACTGATTAGCAAGTACTGAACCATTACTCCTATAGTAAACATAGGGTTTGGTTCCTGCAAACCTCTGTAATAGCATTTTCATCATTTGATTGCTTTATGTGTGTTTCTGTACATTGCTGTTTAAGGACACCTCATTTAATATATGTATAGTTGACTCATTAACATTGAACATATGGACAACTGTTCTGTAACACCCAACCTTCTTGAACTCAGAAACACCAGACCTCAGTTCAGCACTATTATCAGAGGGCCATTTTAAACCACAAAATCATGCTGTTTAATAAATGTCTCTAAATAAATAATTAAAAATTTAAAAATCACCACTCTCCCCTCAAAAAAGCATGAAAAAATATACCAATAAATAGACCACAAAAAAAAAACACACTTGTTTGCAGTATGGGAGTGAAACAAAAAACACTTTCAGTTGTTTTATTCCATCTCAGCCAGGAATGCATGCAACAGGCCGCCCAAATTTTGTGCCACTCTTCATAGTGTCCAAGAGTAACCACAAACACCTCAAGTATTGACTCTGGGGTTACACAAACTTAATGAGGTCAATTCATAAATACGGAGTCTGTGAAAAATTAGCATCTACTGTGCATCTTTACTTTATGATTCATGGCATGACTTCATTTGCTGACAGTTTGCAGATAGCCTAAAATCTGTATTAGTTCAAGCAAGAAAAATAAGAGGGATCTCAAACAGCAACAAAATAATGGGTTTCCATGAAATATGTATTTATAACTATCTTTATTAGTGTCAGTTCAGCTTAGTAAAATCACTGTAAACAAATTCTGCATTAATTAGCCAGTTGATACCAAAAAAAAAAAATTCCTTTTTCTTTTACAAGAGTAAATACGAGGCCAGGTGTCATGGCTCACGCCTGTAATCCCAGCACTTTGGGAGGCCAAGGCGAGTGGATCACTTAAGGTCAGGAGTTCGAGACCAGCGTGGCCAACATGGTGAAACCCTGTCTCTACTAAAAATACAAAAAAATTAGCTGGGCATGATGGCAAGTGCCTGTAATCCCAGCTACTTGGAAGACTGAGGCAGGAGAATCACTTCAACCCAGGAGGCAGAGGTTACAGTGAGCTAAGATCATGCCCCTGCACTCCAGGTTGGTGACAGACTCTGTTTCAAAAAATACAGATATAAAAAAAGTAAATATAAAATGAAAAAAAAGTCACAATTATCACAAATCACCAGGAAGCATTTTTAAAAGCCATCATTGATTAGGCCGGGCGCGGTGGCTAACGCCTGTAATCCCAGCACTTTGGGAGGCCGAGGTGGGTGGATCACGAGGTCAAGAGATCAAGACCATCCTGGTCAACATGGTGAAACCCTGTCTCTACTAAAAATACAAAAGATTAGCTGGGCATGGTGGTGCGTGCCTGTAATCCCAGCTACTCAGGAGGCTGAGGCAGGAGAATTGCCTGAACCCAGGAGGCGGAGGTTGCGGTGAGCCGAGATCGTGCCATTGCACTCCAGCCTGGGTAACAAGAGCGAAACTCCGTCTCAAAAAAAAAAAAAAAAAAGCCATCATTGATTAATAATAACATGTTTTAAAAATCAGAAACTAAAGATTTTCAGGCATTTCCATCTTTGGTTCAATCTGTTTCCTGATCTAGGTTCCGCTCTACCCTGTACACAGTTATAAGACTCAAATTAGAGGGTGCACATGTGAGAACTCATCTGCTTCTAAACTTCCAGAATAAGGTGGCGTTGTCAAATTATTCATCTAACATTCCATTCTCTTTTGGCAACTTCTTACTGTACCAGAATGATGGGAGTATGGCCAGTTTCGCCAGCTTGCACTATGCTGATGTAAGGGCCTTTCATTTTTGGGGATCTGCCTGTGACCAGTTCTGGTAGGTGGGGCTAGTAGCCACATCAAGACCAAAGGCTGGTCTCTAACTCTCTAAATCAATTCTGGTGCCATACGCGATAGGAAAAAAAAAAAAAAAGTCTATGAGCTTTCTAAATGTTATAAGTTGTTATACGTTTTCTTGATGTTTTTACTTCCCAAAGTGAAAATAGTGACTTTTTAAAAATGGAAATTTTGGCTGGTGGCTCACACCTGTAATCCCAGCACTTTGGGAGGCCAAGGCAGGCGGATCACCTGAGGTCATGAGTTCAAGACCAACCTGGCCAACTGGCAAAACCCCATCTCTACTAAAAATACAAATATTAGCCAGGCGTGATGGCAGGTGCCTGTAGTCCCAGCTACTCAGGAGGCTGAGTCAGGGAGAACTGCTTGAACCCAGGAGGCGGAGTCTGCAGTGAGCCAAAATTGTACCACAGCACTCCAGCCTGGGCAACAGAGCAAGATTCCATCTCCAAAAAAAAAAGAAATTTTAACAATTATGTGAACAGGGCCGGGCGCGGTGGCTCAAGCCTGTAATCCCAGCACTTTGGGAGGCCGAGGCGGGTGGATCACAAGGTCAAGAGATCGAGACCAACCTTGGTCAACAAGGTGAAACCCCGTCTCTACTAAAAATACAAAAAATTAGCTGGGCATGGTGGTGCATGCCTGTAATCCCAGCTACTCAGGAGGTTGAGACAGGAGAATTGCCTGAACCCAGGAGGCGGAGGTTGCGGTGAGCCGAGATCGCGCCATTGCACTCCAGCCTGGGTAACAAGAGCGAAACTCCGTCTCAAAAAAAAAAAAAAAAAAACAGGCCGGGCGTGGTGGCTCAAGCCTGTAATCCCAGCACTTTGGGAGGCCGAGGCGGGTGGATCACGAGGTCAAGAGATCGAGACCATCCTGGTCAACATGGTGAAACCCTGTCTCTACTAAAAATGCAAAAAATTAGCTGGGCATGGTGGCGCGTGCCTGTAAGGCCAGCTACTCAGGAAGCTGAGGAGGGAGAATTGCCTGAACCCAGGAGGCGGAGGTTGCGGTGAGCCGAGATGGCGCCATTGCACTCCAGCCTGGGTAACCAGAGCGAAACTCCGTCTCAAAAAAAAAAAAAAAAAAAAAAAAAAGCATCATGATGCTTTCACTTCTTTATACTATTTGAAACTAATCAATAAAAATATCCACTATACTGATTAGTATAACACCATCAAATACTCACAAGTCCAAGCTTTCCAGCTTCAATTAAAATCTTATTTAAGTATCTCCTAAAAACAGGATTGCTTTGACTTTCATAGTCTTCCCTCTTTTTCTTTTCACACTCATCAATCTGTAATCATAAAATCAATTCAACATTAGTTACAGTCAGAGTGTAATATAAGGGTTAAGCTTCTAGCCTAGTGCGGCCATTGAAATCAAGGTAAAGAGCTAGTTGTTTTGATCAAGCTTGCATTTATCAGCTATAATACATCATCACAGTGCAGACTTGGCCTGCTTCCCCATGTTCTCTTTGCAAAGGGCAAACAGGCAACAAATAAAGAGCACAGAGAAGGACACAGAGGGACGCAGTAGTTTCCTCTGCTTTCAGGCCAGGTTTGTAAAACCGTTTTATTTCCAAACCTTAAAGAAACAACTTAGGAGAAAAAAAGAATTTGAGACTCCATTTTACCAATGTTTCTTGCAATGTTTACACAAGTCACAAACAATGGAATAAAAAATTTCTGTAAAAAGGCATTTCTGCACTTTGCTGTGCAACCACACTAGCTCACTATACAGTAATACACCAAGTGAAGCAATTTTATATATATATATTTTTTTTTTCTTGTGGCTTCCTCAAATCATGAGAGTAAAGCAAATTTTATCCCAGCACATCTTCCTGTGCGCTCAGTTGAGACTATTAACATTTAATAAGAATCACAAGAAGGTGAGTATAGCTCTTATTGGGCTATATCTGGATCTCAATGAACAAATTCTCCCACTCTCTCAAGCTGGGACTTATTCACTCTAGTTCTTCCCTATCCCTTATCCCCCCTACTTCCCTAAGCCATCAACATTTGCCTGTTCTACGTTTTATAAGTTTAAGGCCTGCCTCTTATCTTCAACCCGTCACTGACTCATTTCAAACCTTCAGCATTGCTGGACCTCTGCAGCCTCCATTGATCTCACTGACACCCTCCTCTCCGTTCCAGGCCCCTCCACACAGCTACCAGTTCACCCTGCCTACACAGCCAACTGAAGGCAGCTCCCACAGCAAATAACTACATTCACATCTCTTGACTTATTGATTTTTGTATAAACTACTTCAGCTAACATTTTATAAAGAGGATTGGATAAATGAAGGAATGAACAGTGATTACACACTAAATTATAATAATCCTTTGTAAGATTAACTCTTATGCTTATAACCTGGTAATAGACACATTTCTTCATTTGCTACATTTGTTGAGAGTTTACAATGCCTCCGAGCTGTGATAGGTGATAGAGAATTAAGATGAATGAAACGTACTCCTTGCACCAAGAAGTTTGCAGTCTGGTAAAGAAATACAACACAGAGAGGTCAATGTAATTACACGAAAATACAAGGTACTATTAGGAAAACCAAGGCTAGAATAACTAATGGGAAACCAAGGTTAGAGTATCCAAAGAAAAATTTGACATATAAAAATCATATGGTACATGGAAACACTAGAAACACAAATATATAACCAGAGACAAGAAAACAGAGCAATTTAACAATATAAAAATATGAAATTTATGAATGAAAAAAACTAACCTTATAAGTTAAAGAATCAAGTTTGTGATAACATTTCGATATTTCATCAGCATATGCCAAGTCAGGACTGACATCCTTTTCCCCTGAAATACCATATTTTGCCTAAAACAAAGTAGAGACATTTTATTTCTTTATAGTTTAGTTACAAAAATAACCTTTGGTTAATGAAGACTAAGATTCTGACTTCATCATTTCATGACTCTGCATGTTAGATTCTTAAATTGTACTGAATCACAAAAAAGAACTTTCAAATGTACATCCTAAGAACTAAAATCAAATTATTTTGCTACTTCAAGGGCTTTACATTCAAAATCAGTACCAGGTAGGTTTGAAATAATTTCAGATTAACAGTGTCAGGAAAATATTCTGCTTAATTGCTAATCATGGACACATGACCCTCAGAGCTCTGTGCAAAACAAGAGAGCTAGATTATTTCCATCATGGGACTAATAAGGTCTTACATACACACGCACAATTTTTTTTTTAATACCTGAGATTTTCTCATTGTTCCTGAAGCAGCGTCATAGTTAAGCATGTCTGTGGGGTCAATCCAGTCATCATCCTGAGCATAACCAGCTACCAGCAGTAGACATTCACAAAGGAGCAAAGACCACAGCATCCTGTATAAGGCTAAAACAATTTTTAATATATATTATGAAACAGAATTATTTTTAAAATAAACTGGGTTTCAGGTTTTTTAATTTTTTTTTTTTTTTTTTTTTGAGACAGGGTGTTGCTCTGTTGCCCAGGCTGGAGTGCAGTGATAACAGTCATAGCTTACTGCATCCCGCAACTCCTGAGCTCAAGGGATCCTCCTGGCTAGTTGGGACCACAGGCATGTGCCACCACATCTGGCTAATTTTTTTTTTAATTTTTAGTAAAGCCAGGGTCTCCCTATGTTAACCAGGCTGGTCTTAAACTCCTGGCGGCCATCCTCACAGTCTGGCCTCCCAAAGTGCTAGGACTGCACCCAACTGATTGTTTTGTAATGAAAACTATTTTCTTCTAGAGTTAAGATAACACTTTCTGAATAGTAACTAAGGAAGAAGATACATAAAATAAAAATAAATTGTTCATCTATTTTTAAAACATGCATATATACAAAATATGACCATTAAGATTAAAAAATAGATATTTTTCCATACAGCCAGCAATTCCATTCCTAGTCATATACCCAAAAGAAATGAAAATACATATCCACACAAAAACTTGTATATGAATGTTTACAGCCCATTTTTCATAACAGCCAAAAGACAGAAACAACTCAAATTGCCATCAACAGGGCCAGGTGTGGTGGCTCACACCTGTAATCCCAGCACTTTGGGAGGCCAAGGCAGGTGGATCATTTGAGCTCAGGAGTTCAAGACCAGGCTAAGCAACAGAAAAAAATAACCAAAAAATGAGCCAGGCGAGGTAGTGCAAGCCTGTGGTCCCAGCCGCTCGGGAGGCTGAGGTGGGTTTATCACTTGAGCCTGGGAGGCGGAGGCTGCAGTGAGCCAAAATCACACCACTGCACTCCAACCTGGTGACAGAGTGGGATCCCCATCACAGAAAAAACAACAACAAAAAATTTCCATCAACTGATAAATAAAATGTGGTATAGCCATGCAATGGAATATTATTTGGCCATAAAAAGGGATGCTAACACCATGCTACAACATAGATGAACCTTGAAAATGTTACATTATACGAAAGAAACCAGGTATGAAAGACCACACATTATATGAGTACATATATAAGAAATGTCCAGAATAGGGAAATCTATAGACAGAAAGTAGATTAGTAGGTGGTTAAGGCTGAAGGTTTGGGAGTATAGTAGCTCTTAAGAGTACAGGGTTTCCTTTTGAGGTGATGAAAAGTGTTCTAAAATTGTGAAAATGGTTGCAAATACATGCAAATATACCAAAAAACATTGAATTGTATACTTTTTTTTTTTTTTTTTTTGAGGCAGGGTCTCCCTCTGTTGCCCAGGCTGGAGTGCAGTAGCACAATCCCAGCTTACTATAGCCTCAACCTCCCAGACTCAAGTGATCTGCCTACCTCAGCCTCCAGGGTAGCTGGGACTACAGGCTTGCACCACCACACCTGGCTAATTTTTTTTAATTAATTAACTTTTTTGTAAAGATAAGGTCTCACTGCATTGCCCAGGGTGGTCTCAAACTCCTGGACTCAAGCTATCCTCCCACCTCAGCCTCCCAAAGTGTTGGAATTACAGGCATGAGCCACTGCACCTGATGGAACTGGACACTTTAAATGGGTAGATTATATAGTATGTGATTTATAGCTCAATAAAGTTAATTTAAAAACAGGCATTTTAACAAACCTCCCCTGTTTGTTTGCTTGTTTGTTTGTAGACAGTTTCACTCTGTCGCCCAGGCTGGAGTGCAATGGCAAGATCCTGGCTCACTGCAACCTCCGCCAACCAGGTTCAAGCAATCCTCCTCCGTCAGCCTCCTGAGTAGCTGGGGTTACAGGCAGGCACCACCACACCTGGCTAATTTTGTATTTTTAGTAGAGACAGGGTTTCTCCATCTCTGAGGTTGAGAGGCTTGTCTTGAACTCCTGACCTCAGGTGATCCATCTGCCTCGGCCTCCCAAAGTGCTAGGATTACAGGCATGAGCCACTGGTGCCCGGCCCCTTCTGTTTTAACAAATAAGAAATAAGAAAAGTGGGACACTGCCAGGCACGGTGGCTCATGCCTATAATCCCAGCACTGTGGGAGGCTGAGACAGGTGGATCACTTGAGATGAGAAGTTCAATAGCAGCTTGGCCAACATGTTAACACCCTGTCTCTATTAAAAATACAAAAACTTAGCTGGGCATAATGGCATGTGCCTGTAGTCCCAGGTACTCAGGAGGCTGAGGTGGGAGAATCACTTGAAGCCAGGAAGCAGAGGTTGCAATGAGCCAGGATCATGCCACTGCACTCCAGCCTGGGCAACAGAGCAAGACTCCACCTCAAAAAAACAAAACCAAGAAAAAGAAAAGTGAGAAATTACGATTCAAATGAAGTGACTAAACTTCAAAACCATTTGGAGAAAATAACCTGCCTTGCCTAAGCCCTTGTATAAACAGCAAAATGATTTAAATACTTAGTAACTCCTACATGTAGCAATGTAATTAAAATTAAATAAAATTTAAAATTCAGTTCCTCAATCCCACTAGCTACATTTCAAGCACTCAATAGCCATATATGGGTAGTGGCTACCATATTGGACAGGGTGGATTCTGAACATTTGAACATTTTTATCATCGAAGAAAGTTCTGTTGGGCAGCCTATCTTATACCTACTACATATAAAAATCAGGCAAGGGAACCCCAAGATGACAAAGCCCTGGGCCCTGCCCATAAACAGCTGACAGTCTAACATACAATAAAAGTAAATCTAGGCTAAATTAAATACTCCTGTTCCCACGTGCCCTGTATATTCTTCTAGCATTGGAAGCAATGAAATTCATCATTTATCAGTGTGCCTCTTCCATTAGCACAATGGCTCTCAACCTTGTCTCCAAATTAGAATCACCCAAGGAGCTTCTAAAACTCACAATGCTTTGGCCATAAATCACAATCTCTGGGATCGGGACCCAGGCACTGGGACTTTTTAAGCTCCCCAAGTGATCCTAGTGTATAGCCAAGATAGAAAATCAATGGAGAAAACCACTGTAACGTGAACTTCTCTAGGGAAAGGTTAATAGCTTACCTAAATCTGAAATCACCTTCCCATTGCCTCTCCATCTTACCCCTCCATCTCCCCGACCTCAATACAAAGCCTGTGGCTGACATGTGAAAGACATTCAGTAATTGTTAAGCAGCAAACTCAAAGCCATAGCAAGAACTCAAGGATTTTAGAGGTTCAAAGGATAAAGAAAGCACATGTGACTGGGAGAAACGGGAAAGATTTCACAGAGGAATGGCACAGAAATGGGAGTCTGAAGTATGGGGAACATCTTAAGTGCTCAAGATAGGGGAGGCCGAGGCAGAGGGCAAAGTGTTTGCTTCAGCAATTGCAGTTGCAAGGATGGATGTGGTGGGAGAGAGAGGTGGGCAGGTGGTGATGGTACTGCTGAGGAAAAGCTTATGACTAACTTTACCAGCTCTAACTCTCACGAAGGATGGGAGCCAAGGCCGGGAGCAGTGGCTCATACCAGCAATCCCAGCACTTTGAAAGGCTGAGGTGGGCGGATGGCTTGAGGTCAGGAGTTTGAGACCAGCTTGGCCAACATGGTGAAACCCCATCTCTGCTAAAAATACAAAACTTAGCTGGGCGTGGTGGCACATGCCTGTAATCCCAGCTACTTGGGAGGCTGAGGCAGGAGAATTGCTTAAACCATGCAGGGGTGGGAGGGATTGCAGTGAGCTGAGATCATGCCACTTCACTCCAGCTTGGGTGAACCAGTAAAACAAGGTCTCAAAAAAAAAAAAAAAAAAAAAAAACCACCTAGCACTAAGGGCATAGGAGGAGGAAAACCTGAATTTAGAATCCAACAGAAGCTGAAACAGAAAAAGTGTATCGTACTCGGCCTGGAAGAGTGGAGGCAACAAAACCAGAAAGAACACGTGGCACACTCTGAAGATCAACTCTACAGACCTCGGTCTACCAGCAACAAAAATGGTGATGTTAATTTTAAAAAGAAATTCAGAATGAGAATATAGTGTGGAAGGAGTTCAGCATCATTTGTTCAACATTTACCAAATACCTACTGTATACTGGGCACCGTCTTAAGTGAGCGATACCAGGAAACTACACAGACAAGGTCTTCTTCAAGAAGCTTACACTCAAGGGAGGAAGGACAGTCAGTTGGCAAAAAACAAAAACATAACTTGACACAGTAATAAATCCTAAGAAGATAAAGCAAGACAGTGGTACATATGGATGAGGCGATGCTGGCTATTTCAGAGCAGGCCCCTAAGATCTAAGACGGCCACAAATGCTTTGTCTCTCTCCCCACGGAAAGATGAAGTGTATTTCCCCCTCTCCTGAATCCGGGCTGGCCCTGTGACTACTGAACCAAAATCTTTTGGTGGAAGTGAGGCTGTGATGGTTTTGGGCCTAGCCTTCAAGAGGGTTGCTGCTTCTACTTTGCTTTGGAACATGTGATGGTTAATTTTAAGCGTCAACTTGACTGGACTAAGGAATGCCTAGAGAACTGCAAAGCATCCCTTTTGATGTGTCTGAGGGGGTTTCCACAGAAGGCTGGTTTGTGAGTCAGTTGACTGAGTGTGGAAGATCCACATTCTGCAGGGGTAAGCACCGTTCAGTCAACTGGGGACCCTAACACAACAAAAAGGAGAAAAGGCAATTTCTTTTCTCCCCTGGAACAGGGACTCTCTTCTTCTCCTGTCACTAGACATCAGAAATCCAGGCTCTCCACTCTTTCAGCTCCAAGACTTACACCAGCAGCCCCTACATTCAACCTCAGGTCTTCAGCCTCAGACTGAAAATTACATGATCAGCTTCCCTGATTCTGAGGCTTTCACACCCGGACTGAGCCAGGCTACTGGCATTCCAGGGTCTCCAGCTTACAGGCAGCCTATCTTGGTACTTCTTGGCCCCCGTAATCATGTGAGCTAATTCCCCTAATAAATCCCCTCTCATCCATCCATCCTCCCATCCTCAATGGTTCTGTCT